TTAGGTTACCTTAGGTTAAGTTAGGTTAGGATAAAGATTAGTGAGGATTGATGGAATAGGGAGTTATTTAATGTGTGATAGTAATCGGGGGAGAATTATTATTATCTTTTATCATCAGGAAACACACTCGATAATCCCGTTTTGTTTGAGACTTATGGATGAGAAGATGGTCTCTCCCCCGCCCCTCCCCACCAGGACATAGTAATTCACTCATTGTTTATATTCAGAAAGTTCACTTAAGTTGTCTCTTAACACAGGGTGAACCGTCAGGAGGATGGGGTAGGGGGAGGGAGGGGGGAGGAAGCGCAGGGGAAATCAGTGAAATGCTAAAAGTAATAATAATTCAAATTCACAACAGCTCGTAGTTCCGGCAATACCTTCGTTTAAATGACGTGGATTCACTTATTGTGTTATATGTACCTCCAGCCAGAGGCCTCAGTTAGTTTTGAATCTTCTCGGCGAAATGAAAACTTTCCCAACTTTTTAAAATCCTTCATTCACTAAGTAGACAGTCTGCTTAGGGATTTTTTTCTTGTCTTGGCGTCTAGTTGAGGTTTTCTGTGGTATACTGTTCCTTCTGTTCCTTCTGTTCCTACTGTTCCTTCTGTTCCATCTGTTCCTACTGTTCCTTCTGCTCCTTCTGTTCTTACTGTTCCTTCTGTTCCTACTGTTCCTTCTGTTCCTACTATTCCTTCTGTTCCTACTGTTCCATCTGATCCATCTGTTCCTACTGTTCCATCTTATATGTATCCTGATCGCTGCCACTTTAATTCCTTCTTACTTATATTAGTATTCCTTTAGTTTATCACTGTCACCCATTTCTCTTCATATCTTTACTTATATTCCCATTCCTCCTTCAGTAATCTGGAGTTTCTTATCATAATTCTAGCATTTAATCATCATTTTTCACGTCCATAACTCACCATCGGTAAAACAGCTTTCTCTCCAGACAAAGGGTTAGGTTGCCGTGAAATAAATGACTTATTTTTCCGGAGGTATTCAAAGGTTGTGTGTAGATTCTTGAACAACGAGAGAGAAATGTTGAAAATTTACACAAACAGGGGATGGGGGATGGGGGATGGGGGGGGGGTAATGATAGTGATAATAATGGGTAAAATTGAAGATAGAAGGAAAGGGAAGGAAAGGGAAGGGAAGCAGAGACTAGAATAAATGAATGAATGAAAATAAAAATTGCAATCCTCGGAGAGTTACGAAATCTGAGTGAATTACCATATCCCGCCCCGAAATTGTTGGGGATAGCTGACCAGTCGTGGCTATGAGCTATCGGACATAAGGATGATTTAATTACTTGATCGAGTCTGTTTTCCTTACCTGACGACACCAGTTGCTCCCCAAAAGACCTTAATAATTCATGTCTATCTCTCAATATTCATTTTGTATCTGTTGGTAAATCATGTCATCATATTCATAGTATATTTACAATGCCCCGTTCTCATTGTAAATAGAACTTAACATTGCACGTATACACACAGGTTAATATTGAACGTGTCTCCACCATTCTCCTCTAGACTCTCATCTGTATTCACCTCTTACCCAGCGACCTTCTCACAGTTTCCTTCTGTCATCTTTTCTTCGTCTTTTCTTATTTCCTGAGAGTGATTGGAAGGTTTACTTGGCTCCTGTACGTTGAGGGTTATTCTTCTTCTCCTGTTATTGCTGTTTCTCACTTCATATATTTATCCATCCATCAATCTATCCCTGTCTGTTTGTCTCTCTGTTTTCCTGTCTACTGTTTGTAATTTATATTTTAATTACCTTTATATATAACTTCAAATAAGTTATATTCACCTGTATCTTAATTAACTGCACTGTCTCTCTCCATCAGGTGTTCAGAAAAACTCTCTCCTCTCGTGCACACTAACTCAGGCATCTGCGTTAAAGGGAGAAAAAAAAACTTGGCCCCAGCTTAAATGTGTTCTAGTTAGAAGGAGAATTATGAGGCGTGTAAGTTATGGGTGTAGCGAGCAGCTGACCTCTCCCGCCTCCTGCCAGCACCACAACACGATCTATGACCTCCTCCCTCCCTCACCCCGCTGCCTCCTACCTCACGCGCCCTCTCTCTCGCTGATCACTCTGTTTATATGTGTGTGTTTGATCGTGAGGGTAACGACTACCTGTGGACGTGAAGACCTCGCCTCCTGTATCCCCGCTGAGGTATCTAGTAAGCGGGACTATCTGTGGACTAGCGAGGTCCGGGAGAGCTTATGCTGTACAGTAGTTGCTGGTGTTGGAGACTGATTCATGCTGGGAGTAGAAGTAATGGCTGGCGGCTCTACTGGATTTTACCCCCCCCCCCTCCCCCTTAGCCTATAATTCCTCTCTTGAAGTGAAATTGGATGAAATTGTGCCGGGTGACATTTTGTTAATATAAGTGTGAGTGTGTTCAGCCATCAGGTCACGGATATATATAAGTCAGCTATAGAGTCTCATGAATGATGGTGATCTTCCCAGACCCAAATATTTTACGATATATTTTCATTAAATTTTGACCGGAAAATGTGGACACCTCACCTGCCTGATCTGATCACGTTAATGAGGACACGTTAATCAGTCTCAAACACGATAAACGTCTCAATAATCAGGCCATCGGACACCTTTAGATCATAATATTACCGGGTGACTGGTGGCGTGCTAGTATAATTAAGTGACAGTGTAGGCTCGCTGCCGGGGAGGGGAGGAGGTCAATTTATCAAAGACCAGACTTGTTTGACCTGACTGACACTGGTTATGACCTCTTGGGGCCAGGGGGAGGGGAGAGGATCCTGTCGTTTACTAGTAGAAATGTTAGCAATAATAATAATAATAATAATAATAATAATAATAATAATAATAATAATAATAACAATATAAATAATAGCATCCATAATATTATCAATAACAATAACTAATACCTAGTGATTTAATAAAGAAAAAAACATTCGTCTTATACTGAAATTTTATACAAAACTAATGTCATAAACACATACTATATTGGGTGTCTCAGCAAAATGTTCCTACCTCCCTCCCTGAGACGCTGTGAGTTGGAGGGAAGGACGGAGGGAGGGAGGGAGGTAAGCAGGAACAGGCAAGGAGGAAGGAAAGGAGAGGGGTATTTTTCTTGGACATCCTATATACAGTAAAAATAACAACAATATAGAGACGATAGTTTAATAGAAATCTTCAGTGTAGCTACAGCCGAGGTCACCACAGGTATAATGTCAGGGTTAGTGGCCCAGAGTTCAGGTTAGTCGAGGTTATGTGTCGTAACAGGTCAATTACGGTCAAGTGCAGTGAGAGGGGGTGTACTTACCTCCCTCATAAGTGCTCTGTATACACCCTGGTCAGGTCAGTTTACTCCTCGGGTTAATATCAACACTACCTGCTGGCGGGAGGACAGTGTTGTGGTGAGGGTCAATGGTAGACATCTGTGACTGTTTAGTACGACTTTACACACAGTACCTTATATAAAGTGACAGAGGCCCTTTACTTGTCATTACCTGTTAATGGATATCGGATGTATTTTTTATCCATCCATTCCAAAATAGGGTTAAAGTGACCAAGTAGATACAACTCACCTCTCAACTCACACAGCAATAAATAACTACCTTTAAAGTTGTGAAAGTGAAGACAGTCATGTGCAGTGCCGTAATCTTAGTTAACATCAATGGAAGTGTTTTATTACCTGACTCTTGTAAGTTTTGAGAGAGATGATACTTTAATGTGACCGGGTAATATTAATACAACTTTAATTAACAACAAAATAAAAATCTTTAATGTCGAATGATTTTGCAATTTTGGCTTTTTTTTTGTTTTTTTTTGCATTATAATGATTACCTGTTGTTCCTTTACTACCACACCTGTGATTAGTGGCCAGGAAGTAGGTCGTTAGGAACACATTTTAGGGTGGCCACAGCTTCTCGTCTCACCTTGATGACCCTATTAACTGGGTGTTGATTTATCGTCCAGGTGTGACCACAGAAATTATTAAACAGGAGAGACGATTAATTCAGGTGGAAAATATGAGAGAAACAGATTAATGTGGTGGAGGTGATATGTGGGTGGGGGTGGGTGGTGATTGAGGTGGTGGCTGTGGTGGGTGATGGAGGTGATGGTGGTGGGTGATGGAGGTGTTGGTGATAGAGATGGTGGTTTGGGTGTCTAATCTTCATGTGATCCGTTAAAATGATTTTAAACTTATTCTAATCAAAATAATATTAAATTCAACTTCAATACAATAAGTTTATAATCTATATTGTTATCGTTTTGGTAAGAATAAGAACCAGGTAAACAGCCTGTGAACAGCATCACTACCCGTCGACCCAATAGATATCCTGACCTCTCAATATCACTGCCAGTCATCCTCTAACACATGAGGGAAACTCTACACTCTTACTGCAAGGTACAGTACGTGTATAATGACACAGGGGCTGGCAGTAGCTGAATCTTTCCCTTAAATAACACAGGTCGAGAAAGTAAGAATATTTCACCTTGTCACTTAACAGTTGGAACAGTTCAACGAAATAATGGACTTTTCATCTATGGCTTTGACGTTATATCTCATTCTTGGACATTCCCTTGTAATGAATTGACGCTGTAACAAAATAGTTTGACAGATGAGATACAAAATTATTGACGAATCACTAAGGTTATTGACAATGACATTGAGAGATTGGATAGTTTTACACATATATTTGACAATTAACGTAAGATTTGCATGGCATATACAGTATTGCACGTATATTAACGATATATACAGAAACTCAACAATTAATTAATTCAGCAAAACTCAGGTCCCTTTACATTACAAAGCTGCAGACAGGTCATTAGCAATGATGATTTCCTCTCGTGCAATACTGTTCCGTAAGTATGTCTGGGAGTGCTGGTAGTTTGCTGAACAAAGGGTAGCATCAATACTGGGGACTGCTGTCCTCAGTACCTGTTGGAGAAGTCTCTCTCGATACATCCTACAGGTGACCCCATGTCGACGTGCGTGCTGCATCTCAACGATCAGCTTTGTTGTTCAGTTGTCGTTTCACAGTGGCTTTCAGTACTAAGAAGCAATTCTCATTAGGGTTTAGGAAAGGTGACTGTGGATGAAGCTTCTTGATGACACGATCCTCAAATTCCTGTTCAATTCCTGCATGACATGGTGCATTATCCATTAAAATCACAGCAGCCTCAGGACCTAGCACAAAATCCAGCGAGGTCATGAAGTTTTTCAATACTTCCTTTGTCACAGATATTACATGAATTTCGTAATAGAATAGGCTTACCAGAGTGTAGATAGCTGCTATCAATGTCACGTTACTGCCACGCTGTCCTGCAACGATCGTGTTGACGTGTTGTCCCCGTGGAGCCCGGCCGTAGGTCCTACACGTATACAGGTTGTAGCCGGTTTCATCTACGTACACACGAGGTTGTTGAATGCCATCCTCATACATGTACTGAGATAACGATACACGAGCGGCATTCACGTCCTCTGAATTGCGGTTAGCCGGTACATTGTGTACCTGTTTCAGGGTTATAAGCTCGCCATCCAAAGCCCTAGAAACAGTCATGTTGCATACGTGTGGTTTGTTTGGAAATGTTTGCCGAAGTGTATGGTTAAGTTCTCTAATGGTGATCGTTGGTGTAGCCTCAACAAGCATCACCCAAAAGTCCTTCGCCTCGTCATCCAGCACAGGTGGTTCTCCTCCTCCATGTCGGCCCCGTCTTTCTCCTGTCTCCACAAACTTGCGAATTATTTCATAAGCTGTGGTTCTTGGAATTCGTAACTCGGCAGCAGTGAAAATAAAATCCTCTCCAGCTTCATATTGAGTAATTATTCTATCACGATCTTCGTCTGACACCCGGCGATATCGTCTACGAGGCATAGCAGGGTGCTTCCGAAGTGTGCCACATTTACTATGTACTGTTCTCCTCGTGTCGGGACTCATACCGACCTACAGATAGCACACCAAGTCACCTCGTATTCACTGTTTCACTGAATCTCCGGTACATACCACTGTTTCGATTGATGTTTCATGGTTTCGGGTGGTCAACCCCTCTGTGTAAAATGACCGTCCCCTGTGTAATATGCACCAAGGGGTATGATAGTTGTTATGTTGTTTGTCAATTTATCATATGTTTCTCAAAATCTTATGGTGGTATGTCATTCTGCAATTGTTACATTCTCAAACTATATGTAGACTGACGGTTTATTGTTCACATCTGTCAGTTTCATAACTTATGTCAATCTTTTCCGTTAGCATGAACGAACAGTTATTTTAGAATGTTATTCGATATGTGTTCTGTCATTCGGTTATGAAATATGTATATATAGGTATATAACAATATCTCAACGTATATGTGAAAAGGTGTAATGTGCTGGAACGTTATGTGGCCAAGGTGGTACCTGGAAAGTAACTAACTACGCTCTTTAGGGGAAAAAATCCACATCTTAGGGGATAAAATATAGTTTGGCCCCCTTCTGCCGACTTGTGGGGGGGGGGGGGCCCTTTGGTCCCCCTCCTCCTGGATCCTCCCCTGGGGTGGAGGTAATAGGGTGTGGGTGGAGGTGAAGGGGTGTGGGTGGAGGTGAAGGGGTGTCGGTGGAGGTGAAGGGGTGTCGGTGGAGGTGAAGGGGTGTCGGTGGAGGTGAAGGGGTGTGGGTGGAGGTGAAGGGGTGTCGGTGGAGGTGAAGGTAGATTAATGACCCCACAAGCTATCATACTAAATAAAACGGTCCAGTCGATCCATCATCTGTGACAAGAGGCAGCTACTATCACGATGACTTGGTGTGCCACTCAGGAAGTTGACTAATATTTATGTATTTTTCTGCAATATGTTACATAAATAAGGAACTACTATTTATCATTGTCATATCCGAATAAAGAATTTTAACCTCGATACAAACTGACGAACATATTTGTAATAAAAAATAACTCGTCAAACAAACAGAAAATATTCCATTCGTACACAACAATTTAACCAATCATGAAATATTTACATCACAGTTGAATACAGTTTCATTCATATAAGATTTTACGATACAGCGAAACACGTTACAAAGGGATGAGATCAGAGTTACAGGAGTGAGGAGTACAGCTGGATGCAGTACAGAAAGTAAAGAGATTAGCAATTTCCTTGAGTTGGTTTGCGTTGTAATATTGTAGACCCTGAACTGCACTTAACTAAATTGAAGGAATAAGTAAATAAACATGAGAGGGGAAAGAAACATGATGAAAGGACGAAGCAAAAGAGTGAAAGATTTATACCTGTGTCACTGTGTGCCTATGTGTGCCAGACTGTGCCAATGTGTGTTAATATGTGCCAATTCGTACCATGGTGTGCTTATATGTGTTTGTGTGTTCCAAAAAAAATTCCATATTTGTTTGTTAATGTTTGTGGCTGTATGATTATTCTGTTTCTATCCATGTAACTTATCTGTGTATGTATGCGTGTATGTATTATTTGCTTACACGTGTATGTTTTATCTGTGACCACTGTTATTATTATTATTATTATTATTATTATTATTATTATTATTATTGTTGTTGGTGTTGTTACTTATCATTCATTGAAGATACAGTAAATTTAGCTTAAACAAATCCTAGTAAGGCTCCAACAAGGTATCAAACAAAAAATAAAATAAGTAAACATAACGTAAACAAAGACATAAACAGTAAACAAAACGTAAACAAAGACATAAACTGTAAACAAACAACCCACTTGATCTCTCTCATCCACGGGGGATCATTTGCCGTGTTATTGACTTGTGTTGTATCGTCAGGGTTCATCCACGTTCATCAAAGGGTTAAACTACGGTCATCAAAGGGTTAAAGATACGGTCATGAAAGGGTTAAACCATCTTCCTCAAAGGGTTAAACCATCTTCCTCAAAGGGTTAAACCATCTTCCTCAAAGGGTTAAACCATCTTCCTCAAAGGGTTAAACCATCTTCCTCAAAGGGTTAAACCATCTTCCTCAAAAGGTTAAACCATCTCTTTGATCTATGTACTTTTATACACGGGCAACAGATATCCTCCAAGAAATATAACTAATTTTAATACTTCTTGGTTAAGTTAATGTCTTTTGTGTTCTTGATAATGTGAGTCATTTATATAAAGTCGTAACATCAAGCTTATGAAAAAAAAAGAGGAAATGAAAGGAGAAAGATTGAGAAATAGATGAAAGAACGAGAGATAAAAAATATGAAGTAAAAGATTAAAATGTAGAGAGATACAGAAGTAGGAAACGAAGGAATAGTGAGAGAAGTAGAGATAAAAAAAAAGTTACAGGAAATGGGAAGCAGAAAAGAACCAGGAGTTGGAGGAGGAAAAGAGGGAAGAGGCACAGGAAGAGGGAAAGAGGAAGTGAAGGAGGTGGAGTATGAGGATGCTTTTAGCGTGTGGGATGCACCAGTAACTTTTTTTTTTACCTTGTTGTGTTGTGTCTCGTGTGGGTTCCTGGTGCACGCGCGTGTTGTGTGAGCGTAGACGACAGTAAAAAGAATCCTCTCTCTCACTCTTCAAGATTATCAACATCGGCAGACAAACATTCATACACACACACACAGGGCTCTCTTAACCTATACAGAGAAACAGCTAAATCAACAGAGACGTTAGGGGTGTGTGTACCATGTTCCTTCCTTCACTGGATATTACACATCTTACTCAATAAAAACCCACAAGCCAAGTACAGTATATTAATTCCTGGTGTTTGAACTAAGGTAACTCCCTGAACTGTTGCCTCCACAGCCTTTAACAACTATCTAAGGATTCTAACAGGAAATATTAAGTTTTTGACTGTGTTCTGGTGAGATATACGTTGATAAATTCAAAGGTTATCGGAAGAAAGTTTTGTTTCTCATTAAATTCTTCCTTATATAGACCACCTCAGACCTCAGCCTCCTTATATAGACCACCTCAGACCTCAGCCTCCTTATATAGACCACCTCAGACCTCAGCCTCCTTATATAGACCACCTCAGACCTCAGCCTCCTTATATAGACCACCTCAGACCTCAGCCTCCTTATATATAGACCACCTCAGACCTCAGCCTCCTTATATAGACCACTCAGACCTCAGCCTCCTTATATAGACCACCTCAGACCTCAGCCTCCTTATATAGACCACCTCAGACCTCAGCCTCCTTATATAGACCACCTCAGACCTCAGCCTCCTTATATAGACCACCTCAGACCTCAGCCTCCTTATATAGACCACCTCAGACCTCAGCCTCCTTATATCAGACCTCAGCTTCCTTCAGACCTCAGCCTCCTTATATAGACCCAGCCCCAGACCTCAGCCTCCTATACCAGACCACCTCAGACCTCAGCCTCCTTATATAGACCACCTCAGACCTCAGCCTCCTTCTATAGACCACCTCAGACCTCAGCCTCCTAGAGACTCACCAGACCTCAGCCTCCTCATCACCAGACCTCAGCCTCCTTATATAGACCACCTCAGACCTCAGCCTCCTTATATAGACCACCTCAGACCTCAGCTTCCTTATATAGACCACCTCAGACCTCAGCCTCCTAGAGCACTCACCTCAGCCTCCTTATATAGACCACCTCAGACCTCAGCCTCCTTATATAGACCACCTCAGACCTCAGCCTCTTATAGATCCACCTCAGACCTCAGCCTCCTTATAAACCACCCAGACCAGCCTCCTTATATAGACCACCTCAGACCTCAGCCTCCTTATATAGACCACCTCAGACCTCAGCCCACAGTGACCATATATCACCAAGTGAACGATGATTCATCTGTCTCTTTACTGTTTCGTCGTAAATAGTACCGAGAAGGACGGACGTACATACAGACAGACAGATAGATAGATAGATAGATAGATCTGCCGTAACATTGGTAGAAGGGAGACAGATCCTTGAAACGTATTACTCAAAGGAAAACAATGATAACGAAATGTAAAATAAATAAACTCAATTTAATGACTACACAGCGACTCTGAAGGTAACTAGTGCCATCTATGTTCGAGATTCTGAACTAATACTCACTCATGGACCCTAAACCGAGTATTAAAACAACACAAATACAATGCAATATTATCGTCACACATTTTACCAACTATCTCTGTACTGTCAAGTCATCCTGTTTAATCCCTTGTCATGTAAACTAATAAAGGTAATAAAATAATGTAGTTACCGCAGATAATGAAGCTTCCCCCTCCCGCCACCAGGTGAGTTGCCGCTTAGTGTAAATAGTATGCAGAGTTTCCCGTCTTGGTCTATTGTGTTAGTCTGTTTACGTGAGTCACTGATGGTACTACATTTATTTACGTGAGGGAGGTTATACTAATTTATTTTACTGTTCAACATCAACGTAAGTACACTATCATGTTCTACCAGTTACTGATTATTGAGTCAAGTATATTAGCTACTGTTGATGGTGTAAATGTTTGAGATTAAGTGATGGTTGTTTGTGAGAGGTAGTTTGAGTTTGAGGTTGAGGGAGGAGGAGGAACTGCATTAGAGGTGAGGAGCCAGGACTGTTTGATAACCTCGCACACGAATAAAACCAAAATCATTAATAACGAAATAACTAACGAATTGTTTGAATTTTAACGTCATGATCGTATAGTTTTTGTTAAGAGGTGACGTGTAAAATGACTCTGTAGGTCTGGTAATAATGGTTTTACATGGATATTTGCTATAGATATGTTTATTTTAATCCTTAGAATGCAATCTCATACGGAGGCAAGGAGAAAAATGACTGAATTTATAAGCAGGAAGAAACCCGTGGCCTACGTGCCTTCGTTGACAGCAAAACAAATCACTGAACTATGATGTTAGCAGAGACGAACCACTGAACGGTTTACGGCGAACCACTGAACGGTATACGGTTTTGTACAGAACTCGGTACTTTGTTTCCCACTAAAATCAAACTAAATTTACTGATTGGGTTTGTCTATGCGAGGAAGGGCTGCATAGTCTC